TGACAAAATGGGAGATGCAGAGTTTGAGATTGGTTCATTCATTAAAGCCTTGAAGATGCGCTTGGAAGGCTTGACAGATGGAACCATAATTGCCAGAGTGCAGCCAAGCAGGGAAAACTGCCTTGCTGAAGATAGCTGCATCATCTGGTCCAAGGGCAAACTTGTCCAAAACATGGTCCTCAGACTCAGAAATGTGGAGTGTGGGGAAGTTGAGCTCCAATTACAGTGGATTGATGTTCCAAGTTCTAGGGGTCTCTAGATTACATTCTCTCTCTGTCTCTCTCTCTTTTCTTTTTCTCCGTGTAGTTGTATTTGGGGCCCTGGTTATTGAATTCTTTTGTTCATAGATGTGAGAGATACAGTGGTGTTTTTAAGTTTTTATCCTCCCATGTATTGGTGTCAATTATATGGGATGCGAGAAAAGTTTGAACAGCTTGAGTTTCATTTTCTAATAAAATTACAATTTATTTGATTCATTCAAATTATTGTGTGTGATTTTGTTGATGCCAACTAGCCAGAATAACCTCTTCTGATATGATCAATAATGATTTTTTTTCAAGTTTTTATCACAAAACGTCCATGAGGTTAATGAAACTATCCGTCGAAAAATCTAACTTGGCACACATGTAAGACTCACATATATAATGGGGATGGAGATTCAAATTTGGAATTTCTATTAACATTGTGAAGGGAAGTAACACTAACCGCAATCTTAGTCTAGAAGGGAAATTATAATCCGACTCGCAACCAAATTATTGTGTGAAGTTGATAGCAAAGATTGGACTAACAAACAGAATAGCCAATTAGTCAACAATACATAAATGATGCAAAATTAAGAATGCAAAGAGCGTTTATCAGAATGACATCGGTGTTCTGACAAACAAATAATTTCCAATGCAATATTCAATGAAAGGATTTGTAGACAATCTTTTTGTGCTATGAAGTCCGTATCTTTGGTGGGTAATACTAGGCTTATCACATTTATATATCATATTGTGTACTACATCTCTAAAGAGGTGGAGCCCACCCATACAATGAGACCTACCTTTATTAGAGAGACCGCAGACAATGCCTAACATTTTCCTAATGAGAAATTTACGTACCAAAGTAATTAGAAGTTCAAATTGCAACCACCTTATTATCCTCCCTAGTTATGACTCAAAACTAGAACCTCATTTGCTTTTGATTATGAGTGAAAATACAAAGTTCTTGCTCGGAACTTGAAAGGCATACAACATGCATAAAAGTCAGCAAAATCGCATCATTTTCATTCTAAATCTTATTTATTAACAGAAAATAAGAAGTTGTCACATCAATTAATAATGAAAATTTGACATTTAGTGTTAATGATACGATTAATTACCCTCCCATATATATTTGAGTGAAATTACCAACTGGAATACTGTGTCATGAGGACCCACACCTAATTCATACCTGAGCCAGCTTAGAACTCGTTTTTCTTTTGTTTTTACCGTAAAAAATACCAAACTTGTAGTCTTTGTTTATTGGAGCATAGCTGCATAGTCAATTCGAGCACACAATCAGGCGCATTGGATTGGACTCCCAGTGGGATAATTTTTTCCCGCAAAAGTCACTGTCTCTGCCCCAAATAGCTATGAACGGGTATGGTTGAGTTAAAGAAAATTATAAATTTGTGATTTCAGAGTCGAACCCTAATGACAACATAATAGTATGTGAAAACTCTCTTTTTTCTTCTTAATTTCGAAAAAAATAATAATAAAATCTCTCCCCAAAATGACAAATAAAATAAAATAAAAGATAAATAAACGAGTAGAAGAGCCTGGAAGAGCGCGTGAACAGTTGAGAAAACAAAGAGTAAAGTGAAAAAATACTTTGGTTTCGTAGCTATTGGGGTCAATATAAAATGTTGTGGTTTGGTAGCCAACTTCACTCAGGCACTGAGATTTAGACAGAGGCTCCCAAATTGCAATCTTCAATCAAACCTCTCATCCTCCTCCTATTCCTGGGATTTCTGGTGCTTCTTACTTTGTGAAGAAAAATAAAAATAAAATCTGGATCCAATGGAGAATATGATGGGTCTTCTGAGAATTCACATCCAAAGAGGAGTGAACCTTGCTGTTAGAGACATGAGAAGCAGTGACCCTTATGTTGTTATCAAAATGGGCAAGCAGGTAACTCATTTGGCTGTCTTTAATCATGAAAATGGTCTAATTTTCAGATAATTTTTCTTTTGCTGTTGCATTTCTTGATCCATTTGCATTTCTGGGTTTCTGGGTTTTGTTTTTATTTTCTATAAATTTAGGTGATTGATGGCAATACATGGATCTGGAAGGATCACTTGGTGTTTCATCGTACATATACATATTTTCTGTTTAAATTGTACTATTGTTTGTTTGGGTTTAAGTTATGCCTTCTGGAAACCTCTTAAATATACATTTTTTTTTTGGCCTTATTAGTTGTTGCTTTTTTCTTAGTATTAAAAACTCCAACCACAAAAGAGGGTATCTTTAAAAAAAAAAAAAAAAAAAGAGAAAGGAATCTATTTCGTTTTGTTTTCTTTCATTGTAAAGATTAAAGAACAGTAAATGAAGGTATTTAAATCGACCTTGTGTATGGTTTCCTTATTTTCTGTCTGTTGCTGTAAACATTTGTTTTGATTTCCAGAATATTGATATCACTAAGGGATCTGGTTTGTAATTTTATTTGAAGTCATCCAGAAATTATTATTTTTAATCTGGTGGTAATGTTTCCCGTCTTCGCCAAAACAAAATCTGGTAGTACTGTGCTTCTGTGGAGGCCATTCGCTTTCTCAGTTAACAGTGCTATTCCCGTCACATGCAAGTCCCTCTCTTATGAGTCTTATCCCACAGGAATGAAAAAGACATGGGTTCAGGCACATTAATTATTGACCAGGAAATCAATTTACACCAAACTTTGCTATGTGGTGGTTCTCCACCAAACAACTTTCTGAATTACGTCTTGTTGAGGTTAAGAGCTTTGAGAAATTGATGTGATTCCAAATATCTGTCATTTCAACTGATAGGTTGTTGAATTTATGTTCAAAAGCAGAAGGTGAAAACCAGGGTGGTGAAGAAGAATGTGAATCCTGAGTGGAATGAAGATTTGACACTCACAGTTGCAGACCCAAATCTCCCAATCAGGGTTTGTGTATATGACAGAGACACCTTTAGTTTTGATGATAAGATGGGGGATGCAGAGTTTGAGATTGCGACATTTATTAAGGTCTTGAAGATGCGCTTGGAAGGCCTCCCAGATGGGACAATAATCACAAAAGTGCAACCAAATAGGCAAAACTGCCTTGCTGAAGAGAGCTACATTGTCTGGTCCAAAGGCAAACTTGTCCAAAACATGGTCCTCAGACTGAGAAATGTGGAGTGTGGGGAAGTTGAACTTCAATTGCAGTGGATTGATGTTCCTACTTCTAAGGGTCTCTAGATTTGCATTGCATCCACACTGTCTCTGTGTATAGTTTTGAGTCCTTGGTTCATAAATGTCAAAATAGTGATGTTTGAGAAGGGTATCCACCTATGTAGTATGTATTGCTAACATATGGGATATGAGAAAACAAATTATCATAACTTGATTTTCATTATGTAGTACATTACTGTTTATTTGATTCTCATTTTGGTTTCAAATTATTTTTTTAATCCTCATTTTAGGCCTGTAAAACTGGCCCAAGCTCCATGGGGTAGTCCATTTTTTGAGCTATGGGGGAAGGGAGGAGAAGGAAGTAAAAAGACCTAGCTAAAAGAGCAAGAAGACAATATGTAAGGGTTTCCAAGGCATGACAGAGCTACCAGCGCTTATAAATTGGAGAGGCAATGTCAGGGCAGTAAGAACAAGCACCTTGTAGGTGTTGTAACTGTTAATCTCAAGCATTCACCCTTTCCTTATTTGCCTTTTCCTTCCAAACCCCCATCTCAAATTCTAAACACTACACAAACCTTTCTACAAGACATTGTCCTAAGATTCAAACATCGACGTTACCTCTTTCTCTTTTACTAGCTATTATACCACAAGCCTCTCTAGCCAAGCTAAGTTTTGGTTTATCATAATTGTTCAAAACCATAGATTCTCTTATTGGTAATAACCATTTAAGAAAACCAAAGCACTCTCTAGGAATTTGCACCATTTCTGAGTTCTTTAGGTCCAAATCTATAAACCTAAGAAAAAGGGCAAGATCAGAATCTGTTACGATGGTCCAAGAATTCTTGTAAGTTGGAGGAATGAAAAGCAGAAAAACCATTAACAATTGGAGAAGAAGACGGAAAGCAGAAAAACATTATCACCATAAATAACATTTAACTAAATGCGGATAAATGCACGAAACCTAAATGCAGAGACTCATGATCCATAATGCCATACCAACTAAAGTGGGGTTTGATATCATTTGTCACAACTTAGCTAGACATGCACTTGTTTACACCAATCATACGTGATATTTTAGAAGGAACATTAACAAATGAAGCTCCATTTAATCCTTATATTACATAGGCTAAATTGACCGGTATATTATAATATATGATTCAACGCACATACAAGCTACCCCAGTTACTTGGTGATCACACACGTTCCTTTCCACTTCTTGCTTTTGCCAATGTTTTTATGTATGACTTTTTACTCCCATTTCTAACCATACATAAACTCAATCTTGTTATAAATGAAATCTTCAAGCTTTAACCTCAAAATCTATTTTTAATTTAAAAACTCTGGATTATTTTGGATTTTCCTTGTGTTTGTGCAAGGATCTGATCTTGATTCATGCTAGTTTTCTCTAAGGCATCTTTCACATTTTATTGGATGTTCGACCAGGACAAGTTTTGTTCGTATATATTTGTTGTTAAAGACGGCCCCTTCAAGAAAACGACCCAAAAGTCAATTCCAAAAACGACCAAGTCAAATAAATACTGCAACCATCAAAGGGCAAAGGGCGGGCTCCCAGTGCTTGGACTTTCCAGTCAATTGCGTACCAAATAAAATAAAGGCAAATAAATCACTGATCAAGAGTTATGGGAAAATCGAACACCAATTCCTTCCAGTGAAGAGTTTGACGAAAACCATTTCCTTGTCTGCGCGTGAGATTATGGAGTTAATTAATTGATTAATTAACTCTATGGTGCAAGTTGCAACGACCCAGTAGAGAAAGGCTTGGTTTTTGTGGTATCAAACGTCAAACAAACCAGTTGGGTTTTTAACCACGGATTGAGAAAGCTATCCACAAATACATATCTCTCTCTCTCTCTCTCTCTCATCCTTGTTTTGTGCCATAATCACAGCTTGTTTTCAAGTTTCAATGGAGCACCTGTTGGGCCTTCTTAGAGTTCGAGTGCAGAGAGGGGTAAACCTTGCTATTAGAGATGTCACTGCCAGAACCAGCGATCCTTATGTTGTCATCAAAATGGGCAAGCAGGTAACTTGGTTCTCGTCTCTCCATATGTTTTCATGTTTGTTTTTGTTTCTGGTTTTTGCTGGATTTGGATTTTTGGATTGCTTTGGTGGTCGTTGACTTCATGGTCAAGCTTTTCTTTAGATTGTCAAATATTTTAGCCAGTTAGAGCCGACCATGTTCGATGTAAATTGTAAAACAAACAAAGAATGTTCTTGTTGACTCTGTTTTCTGGGGTTCCTTTAACTTCATCCTTAAGTTTTGCAGATGATTTTGTCTCTGTCTTTACCTTTAAAATCAATCATATTTTGATAGGGTTTTAATTGCTTGATGCTTTCAAATAAGGAGGGGAAACAAAACTTCAATGATCTGTAGCTTTGTCCCTCTCCCCATCTGTTCTGGTTTGAGTTGGTTAAGGTTTATTTGTGTATTGTCACTGATGGTTTATAAATGTGTTGTCTGATGCAGAAGTTAAAGACTAGTGTAGTGAAGAAGAGTACCAATCCCGAGTGGAATCAAGATTTAACACTTTCAATTGCAGATCCAACTCTTCCAGTCAACATTGTAACTACTTTTTATTTGGCTACATAGTAGCTGCATTTCACATTAAACTTAAAATTTTACATATCTTTACTGAATGATTTGTGGTGCTGATGTTGCAGCATGTGTATGACAAAGACACATTTACTCTTGATGACAAAATGGGGGATGCTGAGTTCGAGATTGGCCCGTTTCTTGAAGCGTTACGGGTGCGGGTGCAAGGCGTACCAAGCGGAACTGTACTTTCCAGAGTGCAACCGAGCAGGCAAAACTGCCTAGCTGAAGAGAGCTGCATCATCTATACTGATGGCCAAGTTGTCCAGAACATGTGTATCAGACTGAGAAATGTGGAGAGGGGGGAACTGGAACTCCAGTTACAGTGGATTGATATTCCTGGTTCTAGGGGTTTGTAAATTTTCTTGTCAAATTAGTCCTCTGCTTTGGCATTATGGAAGAGATTTGGAGCATTGTAATACCACCAGCTCTGGATTGGATGAGTTTCTTCAATGGGTTCCTTTGTTAATAGGCTTAAAAACAGAGTGGTTTTGAGTGTATCCTCCCCTTTATTATTGTAAACACGGTTTGTTGAAAATAAAATAGACAAGAAGATGCATAAAACATATGTTTGAATATGATGAATTTGTGTGTCACAATCGATGTGGGTATTATCCAGAAATGAAAAATGCAGGGATTCAATTTCCTATATGATCCGAGGGTTGCAAGTAATTGATATTGCATTGAAAAATGAGGTTTGATCAAGGGCAGTCGATGCTTGATCTTGAACGGACGAGTTTTATGGTACATTCAAATTTGGATATTGTTTGCCTTCTTTCCTGAAAATAACGGTTTTCTAACGTCTCTTACTTTATGTCGAAGAGATATACTAGTGAGTGTTAATTTTCTTTCTCTGAAGAAATGTAGCGGATGGAAAATTCTGTCACGACTAAACACTGCTTGTTGTCAAGAAAGAGATTTTATTGTTCATACATTTCATCTTCCTCTATGTTTTCCTCAATAAATTCAGCCATTAGTACAAAAGGTATGCTTTAAGAGACATAATTTTAGGAAAGTCGTATTTTTTTATTATAAAGAATGTGAATTTCTGGACATGCACAAAACATAAAACAGAAAGCTGAATTATAGGCATTAGTAAAAAAGCCACAGTTTTCCCTGGCCAAAATGAGTAGGCCATCGACTTACGTGACAATGTTTCACTTGTTTAAATTATTCAAAGCAAATGAATTATAGTCACAACAATTGGTGTCCAAATATTAATGTAATTAGTTGTTGGTTCTAATAGCATTTGCCTTATATAAAAGGGTTAATTACAGTTTAGTACCCTATGGTTACACCCTTAAGATATGTTAGTCTTTATATTTTCAATTTTTACAAGAGATTTTCTATTTAAACCCCACACTTCTTTAGTTCACCCCATCTTTTAATTTAAATTTTCACAATTTCTAAGAAAACCCCACTATCTTCCCAAACTACCCTTAAATACACCCCAAACTGAAAAAAATAAGAAATAAAAGAGATTTTCTATTTAAACCCCACAATTTTCTTTTTTCCCAGCAAAAAAAAAACACAAACAAATGGAACCCCAAACCCGAAATTTAATACTTTCTAGAGAAAGAGAACAACTTTACCTCTCTCCAAGTAGAGGAGTTTGTCCTGATATGATCCAATTTATACTTTACCTATGTCCTGATCCAATTTAAATAGAATGTAGAGGAGTTTGTATTTTTCTAAAACTTAATTAATATGAAGAGTGGTGGGGTGTGTGTATAGATGTATTAGGGTTAATTATTAAGTTGGATGACTTTTTTTTGTCTTTTTACACAATAATAAAACTTACAGCTTAATGATTTAAGTATTGGGGTAAACAAAGAGAAATGCGGGGTTTAAATAGAAAATCTCTTTTTACAATTACATATCTCGATCTTTTAAATTTGTTACAATGTGATGATTCCACCGTTAGGGTTTCCGTTAGATGTTGTGTTAGTTGCCTATGTGGTGCTATGGGTCCCAAATTTTTTCTTTTTTAATTTTAAATTGATTAAAATATGAATAAAATATTTAAAAACCAACTAAAAAATAAGAATTTTTTTTTTAAAAAGAACCCATCATCTCACTCTCTCTCTCTCTCTCTCTCTCTCTCTCTCGGTTCTGCGGTTGGGGGTGGGAGGAGGGTCTCTCTCTGGGTTCTGCGGGTTGTGGGTGGGCGGAGGGTGGAGAAGAAATCGATCTGGGAGGGGGGGCGGCGGTGTCTGTAGGTTCTGGGCTCGTTTGGGGGTTAGAGCTGCTTGCCGGTGGTGGTCATAGGGGAGAGGGGAGGAGAAATGGCTTTGGGTTAGAGGGATGCGTCTAGGGAATGGATGGGTTGGGATGGGGAAATGGGGTGAGAAGGAGCATGAGTTCTGGTTTAGAGGGATGGGTTTGGGGATTGGATGGGTTGTGATGCAGGGCCGGCCCTTGGCCAGGGCAACCAGGGACACCGCCCGGGGCCCACGATTGAGAAGGGCACAAAAAAAATTTATATTAGCTTATATATATGTATATGATCAGACAAAAAAAAATATATGTATATGCAAAACAAAATTATAAGTGCTCATAAAAAAATAAAATAACTAAAAGTAATGGGTATGGCTACATTATATTGCCCCT